TTGCCTTCAGATTCTTATAATAAGTTCTTCTGACCTAATTAAAACCCAGCAGGAAGATATTATTAAAGCTTTAACCCTTTGTTTAAACACATTACAGTGTGTACAGCAGTCTTAGTATGTGAAAATGAATATGAGATATGTAAAAAAATATATGGTTTGTATGGATATCAGTAAACATGCAAGTGGACTATTTGATATCTCTTTCCTGTGTCTAATGTCACTTTTTAAAAAATAAGGAAAAAGTCCCAAAAACACGTATTTCAGGTTAAAAGCAAGTTAAGTTTATTACCAGATAATAACCCTAACTTCAGTTTGGAAATTAACAGTAATGCATTAGCAATGGAAATCTGAGGAAACTGTACAACAGCTGTTTTTTTTTAATATTTCTAATTAAAATTATTTTTGAATTTTTTTAGTATTTTTATGTTAACCTGGAACTCTGTCTTTGAACAGAGCTTATAGCTTGTATTCAGTCTGTGATATTCCATCAAAAAGATTACTGGTTGACTGTAGAAAATCACCATGCTTTTTGATTGTGTGCTGGATGATTAAAAGAAGTGTCTTGCATTATCTGTTAACACAGTCCATTAAGATTAAATCAAGATCATGTGCTGTGTATTTAGGTCAGCAGCCATGAGCAAAAGTCTGCTGTCTTTATATATCTTTGACTGTGTGCTAGTCGCACTCTATCAACTGTATCTGCTCTTAAACCGTAACAAGACATGCTGTTAAACTGTTAAAGTCAGTAGTTGTCATCTGTAATCACCAGAAAATATTATTTCTATGTCTAGGAGTAAACAATATCCATCATGTGCCATTCAGAGTCCTAAATGCAAGGTCAAGTTTAATCTTAGTCTCTTAATACAACTTTGGCCAAGAACTAATCTATCAAGAAGTCCGGATCTTAAGAAACAGATATTCCTACATCCATGTTTTTTTTGTCATTACGACGAGGGGAAGCTCTCTGGATGAGTGTCGAAGCAGAAACACTTGACCTGATTTTTGAGTCGGATTTGGTTCCGTTGTCCGATTTCTTCTGGGACAAAGTCAAAGCGTCATCCTCAGAAGTATGTTGGTTTGTTTATGATTTAATCGCTGGAAACGTGCATTACTGCACGAGCCGATTCAATTACCCGAGTGTTGAAAAAGATGTTTATAGTTTATTTATTAGGGCTGCTCATTAGCTGATGCAAAGCGCCTGTAACCCTTGAGTTTAATTGAGCCTCTGTGGTGAAACGCAGGAAAGAACTGATGAAGAGAAAAGCAGACGCTCCTCAAACATGAGCTAAAGTAGGACTTAAAGGGACAGTTCACCCAAAAATCTAAATCCTGTCATCATTTACTCATCCGCATGTCGTTCCAAACCTGACTTCGTTTTTTTTACTCTGTGGAACACAAAATAAAATCTGTTTTTGACTATGTAATGAAAGGCAAGGGGACCAAAAACAACTTTGGCAATACTCTTTTTAGAATATCTTTTTTGTGGACAACATGAGGGCGAGTAAAAGAAAACACATTTTTCATTATAAGGCAAAACAGTGGATGTAAAATAAAGCAATAAGCCCCAAGAAGCCGTGGTTTACTGTGAATTTATAACACCTAAGGGGCGTTGTAAAACCCCCTTAGCTGTTATAAATTCACTGTAAACCACGGTTTCACGGGGCTTATTGCTTTTATACAACGGTTATTCCATATATGTAGTAAGATTTCACAGAATAAAACAGAGCAAATAAAGTGTAATGATATAAATAAAAACAGTATTCTTCCACCAAACAATGTAGTTCCTCAGAAACAGTTGTGGTTGCAACAAAGTGGTTGCCGAGCAACACACAGAAGTAAACAAAGGTGTATGTTTGTAGTGTAATTTACAACAGCTTCGAACGCAGCTCAACCAATCAGAATCAAGGGCCGGAACTATCCGTTTTATAATGATTGTTTTTTTTTCATACACTGGTCAATTTTGGGCTATTTTGCTTCCATAAAATGTCTTCTTTCTGAACAGTGGAAAGAAAACAAGTGTTTATTTTATTTTACTTTATCTATTTGCCAGAAATATCCACTTTAGTAGCACTTACATAAACCAAACTTTACTGTTTTATTCATATCTATATTCTGAAAGTTTTTACATAGTGGTTTGTTTACATATTATTCACCTGATTTATGTAAAACCTAAAAACATTTCTGGCTGTTGACAGTTGACGAGTGATTAAAAGAGAAATCCAAAACAATTGTGACTTTTTTTTTAATCTTACAATTCATATTTTTTTTCTTACACTCTTGAGTTTATATCTCTCAATTCTGACTTATTTTCTGACTATTCTTAACCCCCCCCCCCCCCCAAATCTCGAAATTGCGAGAAAAAGTCAGAATTCTGAGTTTATGTCTCTCAATTGTGACCTTTTTCTCAGAAGTGCAAGAAAAAAAGTCGCAATTGTGAGATTAAAAGTCACAATAATTTTATTTTTGTATCCAATGTTGGAAACAGGTTTCCATAAATTTATTTTCTGGAAATGTATGCAAATTAGTGCATTTTAATTACATACTGCCTCATTTGCATTTCAGAAAACTAGTAATGCAAAATGTTTTGTCTTAGCGGACTGTTATGAATTAACTGAGGAAGTATATGGTGATATCTATAGGCGGAGGGTGAACCAACTCCAGGGTAAGGCTAAAAGCAGCCAAATGTATTAAACATCATAAACCAGTCTTTTTAGGCAAGAACCAGACATGGGTGTCATGTAGGCTAAAAAAAAGTGTAATGTGACTGAATTTGTATTTAACCTGATTACAATTGAATAAAAACGTTAGAAATTGATAATTATATAACGTTTCCTTTCCACGGTTATTCAAACAGCGAATAAATTATATATAGAAAGTGACATTATCACTAACATTGATCTATTGCGAGTTTAAGCACTCTCAAAAAAAAAAACTATCGTTATAATCACTGAAAGTGTACACTGTTAAATGAATCTCTTACTTACATTGTACGTACATCTGCGCTTTGTTGTTTATGATGAGAGAATTCGCAAGAGTCCGGAATTCAGTCAGCGAATGTGCGCGCACTCAACAAAACTGATGCGTTTGAACGATGACTCGTCTGAACGCTTCTGATTGGCCATTGCATTCATAAGCTCAACAGATAGTGGCATTTTTGCCCCAAGTCCCCGTGGCCACTTACACACGCTCCGCCTATGGTGATATCTATTCACCTAATTTCACCCACTTCTGAAGGGTGACTGATTTTACGACAGGTGGAACAAACAGTCAGTGAAGTCAAGTTCAAGTTCACATATGTCTAGACCGTCTCGTTCCATACCGTCCCTCTTTCTTCGCATACGGGGGGTCTGTTTGCCCTTTGACCCGTGTGTAAGTTGCTGCGGCGAGAGAGTTCAGTAATGTTCCCGTGAAAAGGCCGTGCTGTCAGGGCTGTCTAGTGACGTCCCCCCTTCCCCGCCTCTCTCCGCAGGCACGGTCCCGGAGCCTGGGAATCTTCGGGCTCAGACCTGGTCAACCCCCCATTGAGACTCAGTCTAGCCGTATACCCTCACCCCACCATCTGCAAGCCGCCGGTCTCAAGTTCAAATCTAATGCACATATGATGCACAATACGGAGGTGCAAAGGTTTGGTTGTAATTGCAGTAATGCATGTGCGTTTTTATGCACTGTTCAGTAAATATGAATGGAGATCTGCCAAGACCGCCGTCTTGTAATTGGTTGGCGATGCTGAAGGTGTGTGTTTGGAGTCGGAAAGAGATTTACAGTGTGTAAGAATGTGTGTGTGTGTGTGTGGTTGTCGGGCAGCAGGAGGGTATAATAAAAGGAGTCATTTGCATAAGCTGCATGGAGCCCGAAGAGGGTGGTTCGGAGGAAAACGACAAGAATGAAAAAAGGACAAATCCTACGTTGTGCGGGCAGAAAGAGAAAGCGAGGGAAATGAACAGAGAAAGACTTGAAGCTGCTCCCCTGTGGTAATGAAAAGCATCAGGAACCTCAATGCATAATATTTGAACACTGTGACAGAGCGCTTACACTGTTTACAAAGGCCTATTGAGGAAGAGGGAAAGAGATTGATTACGGATCATTTATTTTGCTTTTGATGAGCGTGGAACATGTGAAAATATTAAAATTGTATCATCTGCGGCCTCTGTACATCTCTGTGTGAAGCTGTATTGTGATTTGAGCGGCAGGTACAACGGCACGTTTTATTCTGATCATTTGCCCACATAATGTCTGTGTAATTAAAAAATCGCTGTTTAAGGAAGCAGGTCTTTTAGAATGTAAGGTAGCTAATGCACCTCTGGTAAGCACTGATCTGTTTCTCTTTTACAGATGTGCACTGAACTCGGTGGATTCACACTTTGTTGAAAATTTGTCGGAAATCGACTAATTATGCATCCAGAGAGAACAATGGGAGCCTCACGCACCTGAAGAGTTTAAGAGGCACATAAAATCATGATGATGATGACGATGTGTGTGTGTGTATGAGAGCAAGAAAAGAATTGTACTGTATTATACAGTATTTTCATTAAGATCATGTACACCATAATTTTAATGCATTTCTTTACAGTTAGCCTACTTAAAGATATTCACATCTTTCTAAACCTGTATTTTTTATTTCCTTAATTTTTATAAATGTATTTTCTGTTGCCCTGATAACGGTTAAAATTGAAAAATATGTGCATTTATATACATATATTTTTATATTTTTACAGGTAGCCTAGCCTATGTATTTCCTGTGTTTTTTTTAATAATTAGTTTTCTGATTTTTATTGTCATTTAATTTTATTTATAAATAAAATATTTCTACTGTATATTGTATTGTATGGATGAATAAAAATGTGATTCAAAAATGAATGATATGAATCAGCTTTGTATTTGCATTTTATTGACGTCAGAGTGTGTCACACCCGGCAAACGATTGAAGAGTTAATTACTGTGAGTTAATTAGCTTAATTTGTAGGCTATAAAACACTTGTATATTGTTGAGAACTATACGGGCAGCGAGAGTTATGAAAAGGTCTGTGGTTTAGTTACTAGGTTTTGAGTAAAATATTTTAATAAGAACCCTTAAAATATAATAAATTAGTTTAGCACGATTCATGTCTAATCCAAAAATTAACATAATTAGGTAACGTTAGGCTACACCTTTTAGAAATAGAAAAACACACCCTGCAAAAATGTTGATGTAATTTGGCGTGAAAACGCCGCCTTTATAATTTACTATAAACTGAAATTGTTGTAATTAGATAGCTGTTTTAGTTTTATTTTTTTGATCATAAAACCAAATTTCACACCCACATACAGTGTGTATAATTTTCCACTCATTCAGGCTATATCAGTTTCTCTTATTCCTCCTGCATTTATGCAAATGACTGAGAATTTCTCTATCAGTGACCTCTGTGCCAGTTAGCATTAAGTGTTAATTAGCCAATGAATAGAGGAGATATGACGACCAGACGCTAAAACGTGCCGGGAATCCCGCACGCGAATTCACTAATCCTACTATGGCGAAGGATATCCGATTAATATTCATAAACTAAGCCTTCGGCATTGGACGGATAGCGAGCAACGTCAGCACGACCTACTTAATATTCAAAACACAAACGTTCACCATTGGAAGGTTACAAATCAACGTCAGCGAGATTATATAAATATTCAAGCCATAAGCTTTCACCATTGGAGGTTGTACCAAGACACGTCAGATGGTCACTTAATATTCAAGTACTAAGCTTTCGCCATAGTAAGACTCGCAAATTCTCGTCAAGGAAAGGATTTTCGTAAAAGACACTATAAAATAAGCGGTGCATATGTGTACAACTGTGGAAATGAAGAAGAAAAATCAGCACAAGGAAACATAATTAAGTGCCTTTACATACAAGGAGCACAAACGCCTATAAAATATGTTACTAATTATGTTATTTAAAAGAAAACTGCTGTGTTTGAATTGTGCCTCGGTATAGACAAACTAGACAAAACATAAATTAGATTGACATTGATTAACAATATTTCAGATTATTAAAGACTTGAAGATTATGGATTCTATTAGATCTATATTGGGTTTAGTACTGAGAACAGTTAGTTAAAATAAGAACTATCACACTTTTTTTTCAATCATTTAAATATTTAAGACGATTTTCAACCATAGACAAATGAGATATGGTCAAATGAATCCTATTATTATAAAATATAATAGGTATAAAATGACAAATTATACCTTTAAATAAATAATCTTTTACAAATATCGGTTGTATAATGGATGACATTTGGAAATTGTATTTTATTATGTATTTAATTTTATATATTGTAATTGTACCTGTAATTTTATATATGATTCACACCTCAAAATATAACATAAAGAAATAACAACAGAAACACACAAAAGGTGCATTTTGGTTCTTTACCGGTAATGACCGTGACTCTTTTAGACCAGACCAATAAATGGACACTTGATGGAGTCCAGATGAATGAATATCAGATGGACAGGGACCGGCTGGTCGCTCCCTAGAGGATAATAAACTGGACCAAAATGACAGAGGTCAGAGTTCAGAATGACAGGTCAAGAACTGCTAATTGAGTGGCGATTTCCTCTTTCTCCCCAGTGACCACTGAAGGCGGATGACACTGAGGTCCCTAAAACGTCAGCACGGTAATGAACACATGACCATTCATAGAGACCAAACACTAAGAAGTAACCGCTAAGAAATATAAGAATTAATTAATTTATTTTATTTAATTTTAAATGATGGAATTCTCAATTCTCAACACTCCATATATTTGATTTAAGACAATGTTTCTACTTTTTTTTTTGCTATTTTTTAAATCATTTTACAAACAATAGGAAAACACGAGTTCTATCTCATGGATGGATGGATAGATAGATAGATAGATAGATTCCACAACTGTTGATTTTCAGACATGCCTCCCCATCTAATGCTTTCTCTCAGTTACACACAGGCTAATGTCCCTCCCCTCCTGTTCTTCAGGCTCCACACTTGGCAAAATGAAGGGTCTGATCTAACAAGGGCTCTTTCATCTGCTGAGAAAAGCAGTCTGTTGATTTTCTTTCATTTGGCAGGGTTTCTGTCTCTTCACGAGGATATATGTATATTGCACTTTAGCATACCAATAGAGCCGGAGCCTGTGAACCCCCCTGATCCTATGACCTCTCTCTCCCAAACATGAATAGCATCACTCAAGGCCTGGACAGGCTTTTCAACCAGCCTGAGTCGTGCCTGAGCTCCCAAACATGATGATTTGTATCTGTTCAACTGGCTTCTATGACTATGCTGGCAAAGAAAAGAAAGAACATTTACTTGTTCAGAACTGAACCCATAATAATCTGCACATTAAATCACTGGAGAAGATGTGAAAGAATCACCAGTATGTTAACGACGTATGTTAAAGAGATTTGTTAATTATCAACAAATATAAAGAGATGCTTTACTGTATTGTCCTGAGTTTACTATATTTATTGCCGTTTTTACCCCATATCATTAGAACGAACAAAAATGCATGTTTATACATAATTTAAATATGTAAGGACTCTTTACAAAAATCTGCTTTAATGTTCTTCTGTGAGGTTGACATCTCTGGATTATCTGAATTGTTGCTTTGCTCCGATGAATATTATAAATACATATGTTAATGTTTTTATTGTTAAAAACAAATAAAATAGTTAAATCAATCTTACATTTAAGAACAATGCGATTTCATTTTAAATTTCAGTTTAGGTTTATAAACAACAATAGGTTCAGCTTCTGTTGTTTGAGGATAAAACACATAATTGATTCAGTTGCTATATTATATTATAAAAATGTTAAGTTACAAATAATGAAAAAATAAGCGTAGTCTCTTTCTGTAAAATGTGTTCATTTTCTATGACGATAGCGCCCTCATGTGACAATATTAAGAAGACGTGTTGGAAACTTGAATTCGACAAAAGTTAATCGACAAACATTTTCAGAGCGCCTTGGTAAGGTAATTTAGTAAGAATATGTTCGTATAGTGTCATTTTGTTTCTCTTTTTAGTGAGAGCATTACATTTAAATAAATAATATGCTATATCAAAGTCCTGAAGTAACATTAGACCTGTAATCGCAATATGATTGATTGGTAATATGAGGCTGTTTTCGAGCAGTAAAATGTTGTTTGTAAGTTGTGAGTGTAGCCTACGTCTTTTAACCATATAAATAAGAAAACATAACACAAATGGAAAATCTCGACCCCGGCAGGACTCGAACCTGCAATCTTCTGATCCGAAGTCAGACGCCTTATCCATTAGGCCACGAGGCCACCGGTGCAACAAACTGGAAATGTGCTCTGTTATGTTGTCTAAATCACCAACTACGGTATCACGTTTGCGTAGACGCGCGACTGTCAAAGACATTATGTTTTATCTGGAAATAAAGGAAAGCCCTCTGACGACAACAGAGGATGTAAAGAAGCGAAATTGTAATTCCTACACTGGCTAGCTATTTGTATCTCATGAATATTAAGTAAGTTAATGCTGACGTTACACCACTCACGTTAGCTACTTAATATTCAGCCAAGCTATATCTGAACATAGCGAGGATAAGCGGAGGTATTCGCGGATTTTTATTACTTTATTTGAACTATTTATCAAATATTTTCAATTCAGTAACTATCTAAAATTATTTAGGTGCAAAATATTCTACGCCATTGATGAAAATGTCACATAGACGGTTTTATCACGCGGTACCAAAACACTGGGTGTCGCTGTGAGGCAAGTTGCGCTTCATAGAAGCAGGATTTCTTCGGATTGAGCTGTAGCAGTATGCATGTGTAGTGTCCGAATGTGTCTGTTTTTGGTCAGTTGTTGTAATTAAGAATAAAATGTTGCCTGTAATATAACGAAATCGATTTGCAAGTGCACTAGCATGGACAGCAAGGCAGCGTCATATTTATACAGCGGTGTTTAATCAGGTATTTTTCATTGTTTTTGTCAGTTCATAATACTGTGTGACAGATATGAGCTGATGAATTCTTCTCAGACTAAATAATATAAGAAATATGCTTGATCAAAATATTTAAAATACTTGTTCTCATATGCATGTCTTCACTAAATAAAAGCGAACTTCTCATTGTAGCCCTAACTATGTACTTTTAGCTCTGGAAACACATATGAAACATATTTTATATGGTAAATATTTTATTTAATAATGTTTTATATATAATAACATTTCAATTATAAATATTTAAAATACATTTAAATACATAACATTGGAATGCGATTGAGTATTGTAAAAATAACATCTTGAAGGAAGTACGTTGCCAGTCTTGACATGGTTAGATGTGGTCTTTGAGATGCATCTTTAACTTTTATGTTTATTTTTCATTTACCAGTTTCTTCTAAGTATGTGATTATGTTTCATCCAAGGCTCTAATACGATGCTCCGTCTGATATCATGTCACCGGTGGCAGACCTTCATACGAACTGGAGTTTGGGTAAGATGGTGCTCCACCTCTGTGAAACCCAAATCCCAGCAGGGCTCAGATCGGACCCGCCTGAACCCCCTCAACATCCAGATGCTCTCCAGGAACCTGCAGGAGCAGATATTTCGGGGTCAGACGCAGGAGTACACAGGTGAGGATGTTGAACGCAGTATAAGACACTTGAAGCAGCATAAACTCTGGGGGAAAGAAACAGCCCTGTTACCTGACGTAGAACTCAAGTTACCTCAAATGTACGGCAATGACATCAACGAACACTTCAGTTTACTTGCCCAAAAGCAGAGCCTTCCTTACCTAGATGCGGCCAGTCAGCTTCAGAGAGCAAGACTTCCCAGGATGCCCAAGGAATGGGCTTGGGAAGTGGGCTGGACTCGGTATGGGCCGGGCGGAGAGCGCCAAAGTGTGAATTTCCCTGATGAGAAAGCTATCGTGTTTGATGTGGAAGTCTGCATGGAGGAAGGACACTGTCCTACGTTGGCCGTGGCGGTTTCCCCAAATGCCTGGTGAGGTTTACTGATCGTAACAGGTATATATATTCGCCAGGGATTTTACCAGTGATTCTAAACGAACTTTTTTATTTGGTGTTGCAGGTACTCGTGGTGCAGTAAGAGGCTCATAGAGGACAGATACACCTGGTCTAGTGATCTGACGCTGTCCGATCTCATCCCTCTGGAGACCCCAGCAAACTCCACCCAACCGCGGGGCGGTGTATGGCAGGAGAGACTTGTGGTTGGACACAACGTGAGCTTTGATCGGGCGTACATTAAAGAACAGTACTTATTGAAAGTGAGATTCATTTTAGACTATTTTGAGACTGATTTCAAATATATCTTTACTTGCTTTTTTGTTGATTCTAAGGGTGTAACAGTATTAAAATTCGATATTATTTGGTCTTAAAACAGTGAAATCTAAAATGCTAATCATTTTAAAAGCTAAAAGCAAATGTTGGCGTCAGAACATTATATTTTACAGCAGGCTTTCCCAAACTGGGGGTTATGAAGGAACTGCAAGGGGTTCATGAGTTGAAAAGCTAATAATTAATTTAATCAGATGAATAATTTAAAAATAAAAACTGTCAAAATAAAACACTTGAAATATTTTATTTGGTTACCTGCAGGTTATATGACCGTTAACCAGCATCAGAAAACTGTAAACATGTCAGTGGGTTATTAAATTATTGAAATATTGCCTTAATATCTCAGCGAGATACTTTACAGAAAATATTTTCTGTAAAAGGACTGACAAAAAGGTTTGGGAAACCCTGCAGTGTTATTAACGTAAACTTTAAAATGTTGTCTTGACAAGTGCCTAAATTAAAATAAGTCTGAACAACTAAAACTGAATTAAAATAAAGCTGAAATAAAATAAAACATAAATATTGGAAGAAAATCTTAAACTTAGAAATGTTGTCTTGAAAATTAACTGAAATAAAATAAGTTACAGTACTGAAATAACTATAATTTATTAAATAGAAGTATAAATAAAAAGCTAAATAGAAGTATTTAAAAAAATAAAAACTAATGATAAAAGCACATAACAAAACTACTAAAAATTAAACTAAAATTAAATCAAAACTGAAAATATAAAAATAAATGCTAATTTAAAATAGTAATAAATAATATTAAATAAATAAAGGGATTTGCTGAAGATTACTTTTAATAGTGTTATTAAAATATTTGTGTGTTTAAAGATTAACTTTAAGTGAACATGCACAAATAAATATCCAGTATTAACTGATAATAAACAATTACAATTAAATAGAAATCTCTAATACTGGCCAAAAAAACAATATGATACTCTATATATCATGCGTGTGCTTTTGGGTTGGTCTGTGCAGGGCTCCAAAATGCGTTTCCTGGACACAATGAGTCTCCACATGGCAATCTCAGGTCTGACGGGATTCCAGCGCTCACTCTGGATGGCCAGAAAGTACGGCAAGAGAAAAGGGCTACAGGAAGTGAAGGAGCACATGAAGCGCCTCGGCCGAAGATCTGAGGGCCCGATGGTTCGTACAAACCTCGCAACGTTTGTCAGCTCAGCCTTAATAGATCACAGTATGACCAACCGGTAACAAATTGTGTGTATTTTCTCATGCAGATTGGCTCATGGGAATGGGTTGATATTAGCAGTATTAATAACCTTGCTGATGTTCATGCTCTCTACGTGGGAGGAGAACCGTTGAGGAAAGAACCAAGGGATCTGTTCGTGAAAGGCAGCATGGCGGACATTAGGACACATTTTCAGGTAAACATGTAAAAGAAAGAGTTCACGCAAAAAAAAAAAAAAACATTTCCTGAAAATGTACTCCCCCTCAGGCCATCCAAGATGTAGATGAGTTTTTTTTTTCTCATCTGAACAGATTTGGAGAAATGTAGCATTACATCACTTCACAAGACGTTAATTGATGAACTGGAGTGGTGTGGATTATTGTGATGTTTTTATCAGCTGTTTGGACTCTCATTCTGACGGCACCCATTCACTGCAGTGATGTAATGCTACATTTCTCCAAATCTGTTCTGATGAAGAAACATCTACATCTTGAATAGCAAATGTTCATTTTTAATTCAACTGTTCCTT